TGTGATCAGCACAGGGCCTAGGTTCTTAGCACCTTCCCAATAAAAAAAGAAAAGTGTATAACTGTTTGGATGTACATTGACTCCATTACTGAACACTCTTGTTTCCATGAAGAGCACGATGCAACTTATTTCTGCTTATATGATATCAACGAAAACAGCCTTATTTCTAAGGGCAACGTCTATGATATGACCTCTTGTTTCCTCCCCTAAACTTGCATTAATCTAATCCATGAAATATTACGGGCGAATGACTCGAACGGCCAGGGCTGGAAATAAGGATCTCTCGGTTGCGCAACGAGCCTCCAACACTCGACCAACCAAGCAGAATCAATCTTCCCACAAAATGGTAGCTGAAAATGCAATACTTCGTTGATGCATTAGTGAGATCATACTGAAAACAACAAAAATAAGGTGCAACGTACGAATCGCTGAAAAATACAGAAAATATACTTCTGAAACCAACACATTCCTCTACCTTGAAGAGGGCTCTTGAGGTAAAAGCTGAAGCGTCGGACTGGTCAAACATGTGATTGACAAAACTGTTTGCGAGGTGTATAAATAAAACGTGCTTCACAGAGTGGGTGTTGATTTTGCCTATCTACCTCTGAAAAATGAAGGGTGAGCAACAAGGTAGACGTTCCAACATTTCACTCCATGATCTCTTAACTGCAACTTTTGCCACTAGTAATCAGATACTAAACGACTTTGAAAACTTGTTTAAATTTGTCATGATTTTGCTGCATAATAGAATAAAGACAAAACGATTTCGAGATCAGGTCCTCAAAGTTGCTGAACTGTTTGTCAGTGGAATACAGAAACAACCTAAAAATTTAAATTTAAGCACTAATTAACGGCATTTACTTTCTGCTAATAGCACATCAGGTGTCATATCAAGTTTTGCCATTTTCTGCCAGTCTTTGCCGGCAAGTTCTTGGCGTAATTGCATCAGAATTATGCCAAGTCGGTTACCTCCCAGAAAAGGAGGTCTATCGGTCGGAAGTCGTTGGAAAAGGTCCAACAGTTCGACTGCAGTCAAACCCTGCTCGGTCATCCACGACTGCAAATCTGCCTTTCTCATGCCTGTCGACAGTTCTCCGTTGGGACCGCTCGTTGGTCTGTGACAAAAAACGAGCAAAGAATCACCAGTTTCTAGAAGACATCTCAGTAACGCAGGATGCTGCTGAAATTTCAGCCTGCAAGCGTTTTTCAAAGACTCGTAGAAGCGTTTGAAGTGCCACTCGCTCAGCTTCCTCAGATCGACGCACCTCATCCGCGTCTGCAGGTCGAAACTGGCTGCAAGACGATCGCTGCTTTGCGCAACCAGCAGTTGTTGTGTATGTGGAGGAAAGTCTACAACCAAACCAGATTAGACGTGTTAAAAAAAACGTAATCTCTTAAATGTGCTGGGGGGAGAAGAGGGGACAGTATGGCAGTGCACCCGAGCGGTGTCGATTCCAATCTAAGTAATGGATAAATTTTCCTTTTACTACGTTAGTTCCATTGAGCAAGACATTCACTTCGATGTTTTTTGACGTAAACAGCCGAGAAACAGACAAATCGATTACCTACGGATCGGCTTGTCAGAGGTTCAAATATTCTGTTCCTCGACGCACCTTATGTCTGTCATACGATTTAGTTCACCCGACAGCATAATGTGCAGTCAGTCAATTTCTATGATTGGTTATCCTTTCGGTAACGGAGACAACAGTGTAACACAGTGTCTCCAACGTGACCGATCCTGTACTACCATTTGAGCTTCGCCAGAAGATAACTAAGCTATACTGGAGTCCTTCCATTCACCTGCCCCAGGATAATCTTGGCCGTCCCCGGGGTCTTCGACAGGCCCTTAGGCAATTATTAGCCGTTTTACCTCCCTTTCACAATACATTCCCAAGACGTGTCCAAACCATGCTGTTCTGACTTCTCAGTCTGGAGAATCAGCGGCTGTACATCAAGGCTTCCGGATGTCTGATCTCAGGACGATGTCGAGACGCATGAGTCAAGCGGCTTAACTCAAAAAAAGCATTTCAGCCGCCTGTACATCGACATCGACCGACATCGAAGTCTTTCCGTCATAACCCACAATTCATAACCATAGGCGATCAGAGGGAGGAAAATCGATTTAAACACATGTAGCTTCGTCTTCAGACTCAGTTCCAACTCATTCGCAATGGTTCTGACCAAAAAAACTGACAGCCCCGCTGACCATTCCAGCTCGTTTGTCTACCTTCTTATTTCATTTCTCATCAAAAGTAAACATGACCCCGAGGTACGCGAACTTCTCCACTCCCTCCCACTGCTGACAAACGGAAAAAATTCTTT